AATTTCCATCACTGGTTAGGCACTGCAGATGGATATGAGTGCTATTCCATACTCGTTTGAGCAGGGAGATACTTTGACTCGCATTTGGCTGTTACGTTTTAGATATGTATAGTATTATAATAATAGGGTTTTTCCCCTTTTTTGGCAACAAAACTGAAACCTTTTTACGAGGATTCGTGTCTACATTAACCACAATACTTGCAGTCAAAAAGCCGTCCCTTGGTGTGGACCAATCAGTTTCAAGGACAATGCATATATTATCATAGTATGTTTTTTGTTTGCATTTTGACTGCAAGTATTGTGGTTAATGTAGACATGAATCCTCGTAAAAAGGTTTCAGTTTTGTTGCCAGAAAAAAGGGGAAAACCCCTATTATTATATTTTGGTACTGGCAAAGGAGGTCTAATGATATGTATAGTATTGCTTACAACAGCGACAAACATGCGGTCCCCTTTGTAAATTCATACCTCACCACGCTGGTAAAAATGCCTTGGTTGAATATTACTATTAATTATTTTATTTTACCAGGTAAGGCCACACATGGATGTTTTGCAGAAGAGACTTGGCCACAAATGATAGCCCAAATTAAGTGGCTTATCACGTGGAAATGTATAGCAGCCAAATACCTTAAACACATGTTCATAAATGTGGAGGAAACAATCGGAGGGATCCGGGGAAAAAAACAATCCACGCAACCACGGGGAGAATATGCAAACTCCAATTATACAGCAGCCGGCTTCAGGGTCGGGTTCGAACTCACGACCTCCTGCATACCAGGCGAGGTAATGAACATCTCGCCATCGTGTTGAATATGGTGACAGCCATCACCGGGAATCTACATTCGAAACGAGGTTCATAGTTCAACGTCCTCACCACTGTGCCATTGGTGCACACCGCTATTAATTAACCAGGTTATGTTTTTTTCAAAAAGATTTATAAAAAAAATATCAACTCAAATTCGTATGCAGAAAAGTTACGTGTTTGCTTCAAGGTAAAGGTTTCGTTGAAGTTGGTATACTAGTATGTTCGCGTGTGTATTAGCATTATGGTGAGAGGTCAAGTGTTGACGCTACAGGGTCCACATTAGTCAAATTCGAAATTACCCGCAAATTACTCAATTGAGATTATGCACGGATGCATTGTCGGCTCCCCTACTGCCAGACTAATGCCCCAGGTCATGCTTGCAAATGAGACCGATCCTGATCTCTTGAGTTCTCACCTGGTGAAATAAATATAAACTTGAACTGTAACTTATTTTCTTGTAGTTTTCTGTTTGCGTTCTAAGAATATCGCTTGTATTTACAACAAAATAGTTGTTTCCCCATGTTTGGACCTTCTCTACAAAATACCAGTTTGAACACGTAAGTTTTCTGCCATGAAGTGCGTGGACATTAGCAGAATGTCCTCTAAATAATATGAACACAGTGGCTGTCCTGCAATAGCTGTTAGGGAAATGGTTAGTTCTGTTGGAGTCTCTGACCCAGCGTTTGAAATTCCACATTCCCAAGGCAGGGCCAGTCCGTATCATTGTTAACTTCCCACAAATTTATATCTATGTTTTTGTTTTTATTAGCACCAGTGAATGGGCTAAACCATAGAATGCAATCATAATGGGATTACCGTCTAGATTTCTGACAACAGAACCATGAGTATGTGCATGTGTGTGCGTGTGACTGTTGACCACCCACCCCTTCGTGTGCCATTATAGGTGTTACTCGCGAACGGAACTTGTCCCAACAGTCTGTTAAGGCTACACGGGGGAAGTTTGTCTTTGTAAGACTTCCTGCATGAGACAGATTGTATGGTCTCTGTGTGTGTGTGCACATGTGTGTGCGTGTCTGAAAATAGTTTTATAGTTTGCATATCTCTCCAGCATATCTGACCAGATGGCACCGCTGTTCAAAGCACTCAGCTCAAAAAATTGCAAGGTTAGGAGTTCAAAAACCGGTCAATGGGATCAACTCACCCGATTGTCCTTCGCGGGCCAATAAATTAGATACCACTGAGAAAAGTCAGCGGTGGGTCATCCGATGGGGGAGACTGGCAACTGTCATGGAAATGTGGAATTTCAGCGACTGACTCCGGGCCGCGAACGGAGATGAACAACTGCCCGACCGCTGGGGTCAATTTTGCGATTGTCCATGAATTCAAAACGCATTTCGGTAACGACGTTACCTTGAGAGAGACAATGGCTACGTTTGCGTGGGAATCTTTTTTTTTAGTATTGGAGACATTTATCCGGATCAACAAAGTTCAGCAAGCACAAATGGAAATAATGCACGCACATTTTGCTTTTGCGCGAATCTCAAACATACCCCAGGCTTTTGTGCATTTTGTAAACTTCACTTGAATTGCTACCTAAGGCAAATCATCTGGTCTCCGTCTCGGTGCATTCAATGGCGGTGAGTCCCTTGCGCTCGTAACGAATGCAACCACATTAACCGTTGTTCACTTATTAGACGCGCATTCCAGATAATTCGCTTGAAAGTTAAATATTGCAAAGAAGACATTTTCCCCGACGTGGAGCGACTCCATTCGCCCAGAACGTAACCACGGAGCGAACGTCCCCCTCGGCTCGATGCCCCGTTCACAAATGCGTAGGAGGCATCACAGCAAACCCACTCGGCTCCCACCTGACGCGATGGTCATCTGGCAACCACCTCAAATGTGAAACCATCGACGCTGTCTCGGTCAACATCTACTACATCAGCCGCGCGGAGGCGAATATTGCAATGGAAACGTGGCCGGTGAGAATCATTCCACAAAGTTGTTGTTGTTGTTGTTTAAGATGTGGGGGGGGGGGGAGAAGGAAACAAACGCACGCTGAGAGGTAACGTGCGATATGAGCAGTGATTGTGGTGGCCAAGATGCTGAATGATGGTGGCTGGGTGGTGGGATTGCGTGAGGAAGAGGCGATGGAGAGGGGGGGGGGTGTAGCGGTCAGCGCGCTGCGCTACGAACCCGGCCACCCGGGTTCGACTCCCGTTCACGGCCAACGACCAGTGACGATTATCTGAACCGGTCCTGGGCTTGGCCTCGGTTGACTCAGCCTCAAATGAGTACCTGGTGCGGTGTGAAAGCATCGCCACTCGGGATACTAATTGGGCCGGGCGTGGTTTTGGCCACTCATCATCCCCTTGTATGCTGTGCTGGCCGTCATAGGTGCTGCTCGCTAACAGCACTTGCCCCAACAATCTGTTAAGGCTATACAGGCGATCCTTGTCTTTGTTTTGGTGTGGGTGGCGGGTGTGTGTATGTAGGCGATCGGGAATTAGCACACTCCTCTTTATTGAAACGCACGCACGCCAATCTCGCGTTAATTCTGTTGTCGGATTAAGAAGGACCTCGTCATCCCCACAGCCACTCGGGCACGAGCCTCAACCCTAACAATCACTCACTCGATACCACCACCACCACCTCCTCCTCCTCTCTCTCTCTCTCCCCAGGCCAGACCCAATAGCGGGCTAGAGTACGCCCCGGGGGACAGAGCCGAGCCCAGCCCAGCTGAAGCCCGGCCTCTTTCGTGTGTTTTTTGTGTGCCTCTCCCCCCCCTCCTCCTTGTTTTGTCGTCGTCTTCCCCTTTACTCCACCCCCCCAACCCCCACCCCCATTGATCAGCCGCCTCCTATTGCACCGCATGTGGCTCGGAGCCATACATATTATCGGCGGGGTGTATAATAAGAGAGAGAGGGAGGGGGGATGGGATGGGCGAGTGAGTGAACAGCAAAAACGTGGGACGTTAGTGGTTTGACATGCGTGTGCGTGTCTGCGTGTGTGTTTTTGTTGTTTTTATTCCGTGAGCAACATCGAGTCGAGTGCGAAGTGGTATTTGAGCCTGTCCCTTGCTTCCTCGAGGTCGACTCAGCCTTCAAATGAGCGCCCTGGCGTGTCACTGTGGGGGGGGGGGGATGAGACAAAAGCTGATGCTCGGCGTCGCGTCGTGCTGGCCTTGACAGGTGCTCGCCAACATAACGTGGACCTACGACATTTATATCAAAGCCTAGACGAGGGGTTTTTGTTGGTAAGGTGGTTGGGTGTGGTTGTTTGGTGGTGGTGGTGGTGATGGGGTTGGTGGGTGGGGACGGGAGAGCGATCCGAGTGGTGTTGGTGGAGTAGAGGAGCGGTGGGGCAGGCGGTTAGCGCGCTCCGCTATGAACCCGGCCTCCCGAGTTCGATTCCCGCTCACAAGCCAACATCAGTGGCAATTATCTGTACTTCCCCTAGGTAGACTCAGCCTCAAATAAGTACCTGGTGTTCATCTTCTTGGTTCTTTCGGTAAAGTCACGTAGAAGGGAAGTAATAAAATAATAAAAATAAAACATAATAAAATAAAATAATTCTCACGACGTTTCGGCCACAACGCAAGCAGCCGTCTTCAGGTGAAAAAGTACCTGGTGTGTAAACATCGCCACTAGGGAGACAAAGGCGGCCGGACGATGGTGCTGGCCACCCACGCCCTCGTGTGCCGTGCCGGCCTTCAAAGGTGCTCTCTAACAGCACTTGCACCCCAAAAGTCTGTGAAGGCTCCAACGGGAGGGGGAGGGGCTGAATCTTTGTCTTTGATCTTCGTTGGTGGATTGGGGACGACTGCGTGAGTGGTGGACGTTCAGCAGCGAGCGGTGCAGCCCGACCGGGTAGGTACGTCCGGGGTGCGTGCGCGTGTCTCCGTTGGATGGGTGTTGGGTGAGTGGGGTGGGGTGCCTTGGGGTTGAGTGCCGTAAGTGGGGAGGGGGCAGGCGGGGGGGAGAAGTGGGAGGCACATGGATGGGAGCGAAGGGAGGGAGGGAGGAGAGGGACGGGGTGGAGGGTGCGGCTGGCTGTTTGCTAAGGAGAACGGCGGAAGGAGCGCATCCTTTCTACCCCCCTCCTCCCCGAACACCACGATCCAACTCCCCCCCCTCTCACCCACAGCCACCCACCCACCCAACCCACCCACCCACCAACCCCCCTCTTAAGTGTAGCCGTGGCTTGCGAGTTTTGCGCATAGCGCCGAGGTGTGCGCGCGCGCGCGTTTGTCTGTCCGCGTGTGTGTGTGTGCGCGCGCGCAAGCAAGGTATATAGCAAAGCCCTCTGGAGTTATTCTTTTGTAACCAAATGCAGCAGCAGCAGCATATTTGTGCATCCGAGGGGCTTGTTGGCTCGCGGGCGAACGCCGCCTGCGCTCGTTAACGCGACGACTCCGTCTCCACTGTGTCGCGGGAGTTTTCCCTTCGCTCCCTCTTCGCTACAATTGCCGGGGGAAGAGTCCGTCCCGACGGAGAACACGAAGCTTGCGTACTACTATCAAGACTTGGGAGTGAAGAGACGGAGGGAGAGAAAGAGAGAGAGTGACCGCTGAAGAAGAAGTGAACGCACGGATGAATGTGCTTGGCAGTCACATCTGAAGGAGAAGATGATGGTGATGATGATGACGACGCGTGCAGATGATGTGTGTTCAACGCAAAGGGCAGGATCGTGACGTCGCTACGTCGGCTGATTGATTATAGCCACGGTGACAATACACTGATCACACGCGAGTGTGCAGTTTGCCGGCCTCTGTCGGGAGCGAGGCTGGTGGTGCTTCTTGTTGTTGTTGTTGGTGGTGGTTTTCAATCTCTGGTTCTGGGATTACGGCGGACCTACAGCTGCCACCACTGGCGCTGAGAAGACTCACGCGCGGACTATGAGTAAGGAGGGCGTTGCATCTGCAGTCGGGGATTCACGAAACTTGGTGGTAAGTTTTGCTCCCCCTACGCCGTTGTGTTTTTGTAACAATTCAGATAAACGAAGCCACGTTGGGCGTGTGCGTGCACGAGGAGCGTGTGGCGGTTCGCGCGCTGCGCTCCTGAACCCGGTTAGCCGGGTTCGATTCCAGCTCACGGCCAACGACCGGGCATCCCCTAGGTCGACTCAGCCTCAAATGAGTACCGGGTGCGGTGTGTGGATATCGCAATTGGGGGGGGGACGAAGGCGGCCGGGCGTGGTGCTGGCCACCTCCTCGCGTGCCACAGCGCCGGTCTTCATAGGTGCTCGCTAACAGCACTTGCCCCAATAGTCTGTTAAGGCTATACGGGAGATCTTTGTGTTTGTGAACAAGCATGTACTGTCTTTGTGATAACGATTCTACAGAGCTTTTGTCAATCCATCGGTTGATCAAAGCTTCCCCCACGTTCTTGTCGGTCATGTGTGGAAGGTATTATTGGACCATACTTCACCGCGCTGGTCACAGCGAGTTCCTGAAGGGATCCGTGTGGTGGCTCGGCGTCGCTTCTGATGCCACTCGCCCCCTGATGTTAGCCGTGGATTGGGTGGTGGTGGTGATGGTGATGGTGGGGGGGAACGATCTAAGACGATGCCGTGTTAATCACAGCGCAGCGCGCTCACCACTGCGCCACCGCTCCCCCACTTACACATTGTTCACATAGATACAGAAACATTATTCACAACTCGGCTCACAAGGCGGCGGGGTGTCTCGCATCTTCCGTGCAGCAGTAACGCACGTGTAATGACAACTGCTTCACGCGCACGTGAGTTGAGATCGACAGAGGAACAGTACACACACACAGTAATAGCCAATACGTGGATACAAGCCGCCCTTTGCCGTGTGCCCAGACACATTATCATACATCATTTATGTGTTACATTAATAAAGTCTACTTTTTTGTTGTGACAACGGCCGGGCATTGTAAGCCAGCGTCCAGGTGAATTACACAATCGCCCCAATTAGCAGTCCATTGTAGATTCATACTTCTCGAGGGATGCTTAAGCGCAGACGGATCGACGAGATGATCGGTTCGCGTACAGGGGGAGTCAGACGGACGGACGGCAGCAAGGAGCGCTGGACCGCGAAGGATTAGCGACGGTGTTGGGAGATGTCTTCATCCAGCAGTGGAGAGACAATGGCTGATGGTGATGATGATGATGAATGTGGAAGCTGCGGATACGCGTTTTGGTCTGGGGGTTACAAGACAGTGTTGGAGTGTAGCTTGTGACTGACTGCTCGGCGAGGTGATAGTACAGCTTGAGATCATTGCGACCCATTGTCGCGTATGCATTTTGGGCCGCTTCTTTTTTTAAAGGGACCCAATACGCACCACCACGTGCACGGTTCAGCAGGGTTTCTGTGGTTCGGCCGAAAATCTGACCGGCCAACTAGGTATGTAAATGTTTTTTTTTTAATAATTCTTTGGTGTTATTATTGATCGATGAAATCGATATCAGATACAGCGGTGCAAATAATAATTTACGTGCTAAATGTTTGACCAAAATCCATTATGATTTTCGATGTGTACAAATTGGATATGTGATGTGCGTACATTAGTGGGGCATTTCTCGATTATTGCACGCGGTAGTAATGTGTTGGGCCATTTTTACGTAAATTAGCAACAAACATCCTGTAACGAACAGTCATTAGCGCGTTTTCAGACTTGTTATGTATTGGGTTTATAATTGGAGTGATGCTGTAATGTTGAATGGCCTTCCAAAAAAAAGGATCCCTCTTGCATTCAAAGACCACAAGCATGCACCCCATTCCTCTGTAGCCCTGGCGTTTGCCAGTGTTCTATTAATAACGCCACGTGCTCTATTTTTACACAATAGCTGTTAGTGGTGGTGGTGGTTGGTCTCATGTGAGTCTCAGTAGAAACTACTGGGCTGTACTAATTGCCTTTGTTCTGAATAATAAAAAGGTGTCTCGTGCAAAACTGGACAAATTTCACCTGGTGTGGAGAGGTTAGCGCCGCTGTGTTCTGAACCTGGTGATCCGAGTTTAATCCCCTGCCATGGCTAACATCAGTGGAAAGTGATATTAGACTCGGGCATGCCCTGACCCTCCTTCACCTACCCATATTGACCAGCGTGGTAAAATATGGTAAAAAAACACACCCCACATGACTGGCGTGGAGTGGCCTTCATCCACTGGTCGATTGAGAATGGCTGAATTTTATTATAATAAAAACATGTACGTATTTGTATTCAACAGTCTTACTAACACTGTCTCTGTGTCTTTGCGCGTTTCATCTGTCAGTGTTTACCAATTGTGCCCATTGATTTGTGGCGAGGCCCTAAAGATTTTCCGTTGTTGGAGGAGAGTTGGGAATGTGCAGTCTTGGGAGATGAGCGACGCCGTGAGAGAGGATCACACGCTGCCCAGTATTCGATACATATGCACGTGTGGTCTCTGGTGTACAGAACAGACCTGCGTCAGTCGGTAAATACTTTAAAAACCCCACCATATATATGCATCTAGGTTGTAAGTTGAGTTGCTTATGTAATACATAACCATGGTGGCGCGATGGCTCTTTTGGTGGAGGGGTAAGACTCTGGTAGATCACTCGGAGGTCTCATAGTGCCACGAAAGTCATTTTTTTGTCTGGATTTTAGATGCCCTGCCACCGCCACCACCGGCAAGTGAGCCACCACACACGTGTGTTTTGCCAGGCGGCCCCCGGTTTAGCCCCACGTGCGGGACACTTTTAAAAAAAATAGTAACTCGTCCAACTAACACTCCCCGGCGCGGCACGCTTTCCGCACCGAGCCCTAACTTCTCGCCGCTCCCGGTGGACTCTGCCGTCACGTTGGCACAGGTGGGCGGCGAAACCGCGGTGCGGGGCCCAATGCACGCCGACGTGGGACCCGCGTCCACCCCTCTGGGTCACCCCTGGCATTCCCCTGTGGCCTCCCGAAGCTCCAGCCGACCAGCCCCGGAGGGCTCGGCCCCCGGTTCCGGACTCAGGGGGCCTTGCCCCGACTGCCCCGCGCGACTGCCCTGCCCGACGGGAAGCGGCTGCCCGTCGTCGCAGGGCGTCCCCTGCCCTGGGGAGAGGGGCAGCGCCTGGCCGTGCGAGAGCTGCTCGCGGAGCAGGATGGATGACCTCAAGCGGCAGGTCCACGACCAGACGTCGCCGGGGCACACGAGCAAGGTAACGTGGGCGGGATGCACGGCGCTACGGTGGCCAGATGGTAACTACCTCGCCTGGTATGGCAGGAGGTCGTGGGTTTTCGATCCCGACCCTGACACCTGCTGTGCGTTTGAAGTCTGAGTGTCTCTCTCTCTCTCTCTCGGTGGTCACGTGTATTTTTCTCCAGGTCCTCCGGGTTTCCCCCTCCACGTTAACGAATCGACGTGCGTCCAGAGTATTTGTCTGCCGTACATTTTCACGTGATAAGCCACTTGGTTGGGCTATCATATGTGGCTAGGTTGCTTCTGAAAGAGAGCTGTATAGCTCAGTGTGTCGTACCTGGTAAAATAAAAAAACAAAAATTTAGTGTGCTTTATGGGTGTGGAGAGATCCGTAAAGGTGACGGCGTTGTGCAAGGGAGAACGGTCGGAGTGATGGATTGAGATGTGTGGGAAGGTTTTAAATGGAGTTATGTGGAGAGTTGAGCAGTTGGAGAGGGCATACGCTTTTTTTACGTAGTTTACTGCCATTAAGGCCGGCAGTAAATATTGTCATTGTCTCCTGGCTCAAACAAGCGTTGGGGCTGTGCTTATCTCAGTTGGCAGCTCCGAACCATCGGAGGAAATACCAAAAGCAAGAGACCAGTCTTACCATAGCATGACCGCTGGTATGGTTCTCGAAGAGGTGCTAATTTTATTGATCTAGCAGGGGTGACTGGGCAAGCTTTACTCCCCCAAAACTGGGAAATGAACTCAGAACCCTGGCAGTCTAGACATTGCGTTTATTAGACTTAGATGACAGTAGTAAAATAACCAAGTGAACAAGTATGCTAACCGTACAGCCTTTGTGTATAATGGTCTAATGCCTTCCCGTAATTGACCAATCATTTCACGTTGCCTTGAGAGTCCACTTGTGGCTTTCATAGACAAGCTGCCTACGCTAGATTTGTGTTGTCGTTGTTGCTGTTGAAAGTTGAACCCGCGCCACTTAATAGAAAAGAAGAACGAACCCTTTTTTTTTTGGCTCTACGCGCCACCCCGCGTGGGCGACAGGGCCACGCTTTTGCCGAGATTGACAGCTCCTGTCGGCGCAGCGTACACCGCCGGGCACGTTGACATCCGTACGCAGGACCCCTTAAGGGGGTCGCTTTTCACCGCTCGCGACCAAAACGCACCCCTTCAAACGCACGCTCCACGCATTGTCACAACAACCCCCCCCACCCTCTCCGCCCGCCTTTTTTTTTACTGCGAGGGCTCAAAACACAGAGGTCTATTCCCTGCAGCAAGCGTCCGTTCGTCTGTCGTGCTACGCTCCGCATACGCCCATGCACAACGTTTTGCCTCTTCCCCCCCCACCACCACCCAAAAAAAAAGACCCAGCAACAATAGAGGTCTCCCCAACCTTTGCTCGGCTGACCACCTGCTTTTCCCCGATCGTGGTGAGTTACTTTGTTGGTGCACACCGTGGTGGGGGGGGGGGGGCAAGCCCTGTTTGCCAGACGGTCGTGTGTGGTGTGTGGTGGTGGTGGTCTTGGGCTGTCCCCGGGTGCTGCCACGAGAGGGCAGCACTGAGGCACGATCACAGAGGGCCCCTTTATTGTGTGGCCACGTCTGTCTTGGGAGGGTTGCACGTGGGATTGTTCGTCTTGACAGTCGCTTTTTCAGCACGCGGCTTTAGTGATGATAATAATAATAGTTCAATTTATAACGCGCGCACATTTTCAGACGTAGTGGCCGCAACTCAGAGGCGCGGAGCCAAGCTCAGAGTCGCTCGAAAGCACGTGATTGTAGAAGTGAGTTTTTAAGTCTCTCTTGAAGGAGGCGATTGAGGTGATGCTGCGAATGTGCAGAGGGATGACGGCGTTCCAGACTGTTGGGGCTGCCACCGAGAAGCGGCGCATAGACACGGTGACCATCCTGGATCTTAGTGAGCCACAATTATTGTGCGGCGATTTCAAGAAGGGGGAACGGTGGCACGGTGGTTCGTCTGCTGTGCTTTGAGCCCGACGACCTGAGTTCAAGTCCCAGCCCAGAGCTAAAAGCAAGTGGCGAGTGATACATGCAATGTTCCTGGCTCTCTCCCCCCCTTCTCTTCACCAAACCCGCACTAATCAGCACGGTGAAGCATGGTAAAAAAAAATCCTCGCTATTTGAAAGGCATCTTATTTGGATTTCACCAAATTCACGCATCACAGATTTGCCCATTGCTTCTTCTCATATATTTCATTCACATCATGTCCACCATTACATGCACGCGTGCACCGTTGTTTGATTCTTTGTAGAGTGCCTTGGTTAAGGTGCCATATAAATTCAGTTAAGATATGACGGGACAGAGTACTGTAAAATATTGTTTGACTATTATAATAATTGGTGTGATTTCCCCCCCGTAATTCTGCAGTCCCATCATAGACGTTATTCAAAAGTCTATAATTTTCTTTCTCAAACGACCCTGGGAAATGTATCATCTCAAATTGGTGTTCCTGAGACAGCGCGGCGGAAACTCCATGTTCCCATGGCAGAGACCAGTTTGTCTCGAGCACAGCCGCTGTTTATGCCGCACAAAGGAGATTTTCTATTTTATCGACCATGGATGGTGGATGATGGGCCGAGTTGACCCCCCCTCTCCCCCACCAATGAGCAACCGGCCTGAAACGCATCCCATTCAAATGACTGCAGCTCTGTTGCAAAATTTGGCCGAAAAAAACGTTTGCGACATTGAGTGACTAATGCCACGGGTATTTACGTAAAGAAATATAAAAAACAATAAAACCCAATGTTGCACCAACTTGTGTGCGGAAGAACCTATAATGAGGGCATAAATTTCACTGGATCTCCCATAGTTATTTTGGAAACGTCACCCATAATTATTATTGGCCGTACGTAATTTTATTTGCAGAGGTATCTTGTTTACAGTGAATACAATGGAGCCAAGGTCGTTTCTGTTCACTTGCAGCCACTAAACAGAGTTAAGAAATTTCGATTTAAAGCTTTCGTGACTGCAGGGATTCATCCTCTTGGTTCTTTCGGTAAAGTCACGTAGAAGTGAAATAATAAAATTAAAAAAATAAAACCTAATAAAATAATTCTCACGACGTTTCGGCAAAAATAATAAAAATAAAACATAATAAAATAATTATCACGACGTTTTGGCCACAACGCAAGCAGCCGTCCTCAGGTGAAGACCAGGTTTGTCGGGGAGACAGCGTCTGAATTTATTATGTTTTGTTTTAATTATTTTATTATTTCCCTTCTACGTGACTTTACCGAAAGAACCAAAAAGAGTTAAGAAAGACAAGTTTCTCTCTGCTCAAACGAGTGTGTGACCTGGCTCGTCTCTGTTTACAACCCTACCCACACGAAAATTTCCACATTCCCATTCTTTAAGACAACCACTTCATTAACCCAGGTCTCCTGTGCAAAATCAGTTTTTTTTCGGTGTTCGTAACCTTGCTCATTTCGTCAAGGAGCATACACCAGCACAGTAACTTCGGTCATCCCTGCAGCGGCTCTTGGCTGGCCATCGAAAAAAGGCAGTCACTGACTTTCAGATGCGCTTCTGCGGCCGTCTGGAATGCTCTTCCTTCCGATATTAGGAAACCACTTGAGCAATGCACTTTTACATCTAAACTGAAAACCAACTTCTTTAGAAATGCTTTTAGTGTTAAGTTGGTTGTCCTCTCCCCGCAGCTCCGATTGGCATCGTTGGCTACGTACGGTGTAAAAGAAGTTCAACATACATACATCATCATACACCGTTTGGTCTCAGTGGCCTGGGCTCCGGGCTTCAATGAGGAGGGAATGGAGTTGGACAGGGGGTCCCATATTATTCCATGCACCAGGGAACCATGCCAACCGCACTACACCACTGATGATTCGGTCGATATAGCCAAATGACCGGTACACAATTACCAACTCGAAAGAAGCTTGACATTTTGAATGTTCACCGAGGTAGGAGAGAATTAACCGCAACGTTTTCCTTCTAAAAAAAAAACACGGCGCATTGGGTGATGCAGGCTGCACTGAGGTTGTTTTAATTAATTTCCCACATGTTGATTCGGAGTGAAGAAATGGTCAAATTACCCAGCGTGTACTTAATTTGGTTCATTACGCTGCAACACAGCTCATTTTGCATTGCGAACAATGCGCACATTTCTTAGCTGACGTGAGAATGGACGAATCGAACAAGTTGGTTGTCGTGAGAATGCAAATGGTTAACAAACAAAAAAGGAAAAAACAGAATTCAATGTAATGCAACGCCAAGCCAAGTCATCCTTTCTCACAACGTCATGAATGTCACGGTGTAAAGTTGTCGATTTTGAAACCGGGGCATTGAGTTCTTGCGGAATCATTCATAGCGTATGCTCGTTGTTTTATCATCACTGAGATGGCTTACAAAGTGAGTAGCGTACGCTGCGGAGTGCCCCACAAGTTTATTGCGCCTTTCCGTTACTGCAGCGGCACAAAGTGTTCATCGTCGATGAAGCTGAAGCACGTGTCACTTTAATGGAATGATGATCGTGCAGCAAATCACAGCAATTCGTAACGCACAACGTAAATGTCAACGCGAGTGCGAAACATTCTTACTGCGCGCATGTGCGACGTTGCACTTAATTGGCAATTGCACGCACGTTAGCCAAAACATTTTTAGAAATGTTTAAATCCTGGCAGCATGCGAGACGTAAATTGAAAATTTACAAAGGCGAGAGAGCGGGAGAGAAGATGCGTTTACAATGCATGCCTTTTAAGTCTTGATTGAAACAGCATTTCTTTAGAACTGCTTTTTGTGTTTAGTTTGTTGTCCTTCCCCCCATGCACTTCCGATTATACATACATACATGTAAATTATAAAGCATGCCAAAAACACGTTCAACTTAGTTATCCTCAGCATCTGTAGGGTGCAGTTGCTGTGAGTGAGTGCCACGTCAGGCCAAAACAACTTACGTGAGATTTCGATTTAAAGCTTTCGTGACTGCAGAGATTAATCTTCTTGGTTCTTTCGGTAAAGTCACGTAGAAGGGAAAT